CAAATTGTCGAAACCATAGCAATCCGATTTGGCGAAGAAAACATTTCGGAAAGTACGATGCTAAACCAATTATGGAAAACAATTTGGTAAATGTAGATAAAACAAGTTTAAAACAAGTATAGTCCAAGGCAATCAATCGTATCCCATTCAGATTTCAAGGAACCTCTGTTTTGACTAAATTTATGGCTCTACGACGGAAAATCCCGAGAGACAAGCGCAGGATATCGTCATCAAAAATTTTGTTCAACAAAGGTAGCACTCTGACAGCGAAAGATTTAGCTCTGACCTGTGTTCTTACTAATAGAGACCTTGCACAAGTAAGCGATTACCTATTAAAGCGCATGGGGAAGCATATGCACCACACGAAGCAGTTACTTGGCTGCCAAGGAGGCGAAGTGCGCTTTCACAACGAAAGGCGCTGGTTGCTGAGCAGGACTTCGAAAGCACTCCGCCCCCAAAAGCGATCCGCCCACCAGTTTACTTGTTGATTTGGACGAGCTGCGTGGCCAGCAGCGGCGCAAATGGAGCATCTCGATTAAAGCGTGATTTGGCAATGGTGCCATCAAATTGCGGTGAACTCGTTCATACTCCACTTTCTGAGCTGTTACCTGTTCATGAGTGAAAACCAACGGCCAAAAAAGGGGGTCCCGTTTTGCGTTTTCTTGACGGATTTTTCTGCTTTTTTCGCCACTGGCGTACCATTGAGCACCACCACGTCACATAAACCCTTCTTGAATTTATCGTAATCGCTGCCTTTAACTCTTTCACTTTTCCTGGTGCACATGTGAACAACTTTCGTCATATAGATGTTCACTTCTTGTTAAGAGGGATGGCTACTGCGCGAAAATAAGATAATCTAACGTAAAGAAGTCGTAGTCTAACGATAAGGTTCAAACGCATTTCTGTCTCATGCCATAATACGGGAAGTCAAGGCGATGAGCGTGGGAAGATTTTCTAGGCTTTCCTGTGGCTCTATTTTCTGGGTTGACTCTTGTAGAATTGTACTGTTTGTCTAATGCATTCGATATCATGGACTCATGTGCACTCACGGGCAGTACCACTAGCAGCTGCACCATTTGGGGACAGGGTAAACCGTTCGTTCGCATTATTTGATCGAGGGGTCACATCGTAGTGGGTTGTCAAAGTGGGAACGGAGGTTGTTAAAAGGGGTTGTGTTTAGACGGGTTTCTTGGTGAGGATGGTGGTCGAGGTGGGGTGGCTGATTGTATTGTGGGACGCCGTAAATTGATGGTGATGGGGTCGTTGATCCTCTCTGGAAAAAGGAGGGTTGTGAAAAATTAGAAAAAGTACCAACGCTGCGATTCACCCTTCTCGGGGATTAGCCAATGGCTTCCCAATGGCGAGTAACGTTTCTGGAAAAGTTGCGTGACCAAACTTTGCAAATTTCATCCTTATTGGACAACGATGGGGCGCCCGAAAGAGGAATTTCATGAATGAGCAATGAGGAAGCTGAAAGCAGGAGAAATATTGGGCTGTCCCGCCGCCTCGTAAGGATCGAAATGTTTTACACAGAAAATTCTACTTTGGCTTATCGAACAAAAGAACAAGGTTAAAAGGAAAGATTCTATAAAACTATCTCGAAACGATTTTGAGCCTTTCGATCTGGGAGATTTTTGATGTTCTTAACTTTAAAAGGTTTGGAAGGATAAAAACTTTGATGCAAGGATCTGAATGTTACAGTTCTTTGAAGAGAATGTAGGGACAAGACATTGGAAACGAGTAATGCTCTTGTCTGTGTAAGCAGCGGAGGCGGGGATAGCCCCTCCCATCGCCGGGACGATTTTCGGCTTCGCCCTCCCCCGCACTCTTCCTTTACCCACGAATTAGTAACCCGTTCTCGGTAGGGGGTTTTTCGGTACGCACAGTGTGATAGAATACACACAGGAACATTCATATCAAGTAGAGATATTACAAAGACACACACGAAAAGAAACTCGTTTGTTTAGGTGCTGAACGAGAACTTGAGACTGGGTTTCTTTTCTGTCGCCGCAGACGTCGGCGCGGATTCGTCCCGGTTCGGTGAAGGTTGTCGCTCAAGGGCTGCTCGAACGTCTTCCGGGTCGGCCAACTCTATCTCCGCCATCTCAGTACTTGATTCCAACGCATCCATTGCTGGAATAGGCACAGTTTGTGTGGCTAGACTCTGTGGCAGTAAGGACCTCTCTCACCGCCCCCGCTACCCGTGGTCAAACATGGCGCGAACCCTTTCTGCGCTTTCTACCCGTAAAAAGTCGAGCGCGAAAACAGTAGAAAATTGAAACATTACCCTCCATACCTGAGAAAATCACTGGTACTTTCTGGTCCTTGACCCTCTAAAATGAGAGATCGTTCGGAAGTCGGAAACCGTAACTTTCCGACTTCCTTTAACTATGGGTATATTTGCATTCCGTAACGTAACGTCTATAGAAACCAGAATTGAGGTACTATGCGAGCTTCTTATCGGCTCATTTTGAGACCATCACAATTCAAGCGTGCCAGCCAGAAGCAGGCTGCTACCTTGCTAGCTGGGCTGCTGACGATTCCGGTTCCAGCAATGACCTCGCCGACGTCGGCGCAGTTCTCTCGAATGGAAATTGTAAAAGTGTGGCTTGAATAGAACGGGTTGGAATGGATTGAACGGCATCCCATAAAAAACGAGCAAACACTTAAAAAGTGAGGAATAGAACATCGTAAGACCCGTTTTCTGAAGAGCGAAACACCGCAACGCTGATAGGAATCCTATTCTCTCCAGTTAGCACTTTTCATGCGATGCTGTCGGAACCGCAGAAATAATTTTGGTTTGAAACGGGTTTCACAAAGTGCACGATGTAGGAGGGATCATTTCCCTAACGATTCTTCTATGATCAAAAATCTCATTAGGGGGTTTGTTCCTTTACTAGGAAAGGGGTTAAGCCTCCCATGAAACTTTGAATTGAGACCTAGGTAAATCGATAGAACTTGAGAAGGTGGTTACAATGTGAAGACCAAACCTTTACGTGAATCTGCAAAGGATTAGCGATCAAAGTGGTCCCAAGTTCGATTCCCGTGGTGATCAAATTTTGCATTCTAGGTTAGCGCTTCTAGATTGGTGCCAAATGGCGCCTGCGCTAGGAATATGTAGATGTCATCGTCGTGATCACGGCTATAAGAACTTCTTGCAAGAACGTTTCCATCAAATAGCATTATCGGATCGCTACATGTAGCGAGGTGCTACCTTCATCATGGAGCAGGACAGCTTATGTTAAATAACAATTCAATCTTAGAACGCTTTTGACAAGAACTCGATAGGCCAGTAACATCATCGAGCTACCCTGATCGCGCGAGAGAGAAAGGTATAAGAACCCAGCTAGGTGGCACAGAGTAGACTCCTAGGTCCCCTACCTGATACCACCATATTCGAATCCCTACCCCGATCCGTCAACCTGATATATGCCTGGACGAGATTTCAGCCTATGGATCCTCACCGAGGGTTACTCATTGCTATTGATATCGAACGCCTGCAACTAAACGAAGTTATTGTATATTTTCACAAGAATGCTGGGTTGTGAACAAAACTTTCGCCCCAGGCGGGACTAGAACCCGCACCTCTCGCTTTCCGGGCAAGTGCGCTACCAGTTACGCTACCGGGGCACCATTTCATCCCAACTCAGCTTTTCATGGTATACGTACCATCTGTTTCATGCAGCCAGAAATCCACGTGGCACGTGGCTAAATTCTCGATGAAAAGGTGACGTCACGTGTGCTCAAAGATGTTCTTGAATCGATGCCACGTCAATGCCACGTCAATTTCTGCAATTGCACAATTTCTGGTTATTTGAAGGCGAGGGTACATTAAGCTTTCAGCAATTCACACGTATAACGTGTTGAGTTCGTTTTCGTGTTCGCAGTGTTCGCAAGGCGAACTGCGGCCAAAAACAGCAGTTAACAAACAAAAACAAGTCAAAAATCTATCGGTATACTTCGCTGTGCCTAAGCAATATCTTATCACTGTTCCATTAAAATATAAACCAGAAGTTTGGTGTGTCGGTTTGTTTGTGTGTATGCACGTCTGTCCTGTCCGTCCGCAAAATGAAGTGAGTGATAAGGCGGCCAATGGAGTAAACAGGCCGCTAACAAATCTGGGTAGCTCGCAGGGCTTTGCTAATCACTGTTTTGCAATTACAATGCCATAACGCTATAATAAACACCTATAACATTTTAGCCATTTACAAAAGTGCTGCTCAGTGGCAGCTGAGAGACAGTGGAGGAAGAAGGGAAGATAACGGGGGGTGGGGTGGCGGAGGAGGAACGCAAGGCTCACGGAGGGAAGCGGAGGTTTCGGCAGTTCCGGGGGCCCAATCTGGTATCACAATATTTTAGAATCCATCATGCATTATGGTTCTTCCTGCTCTCTGAAATATTCAAATACATATACAAAGATCCCACGTGGCGAATACGCGCCAGACACTGCACTAACAGCCAGCCTTGATCGCTCAATTTTCTCGGCAAATTCGCGTAGCAGTTTTGATTTCATATTTGTAACGCAGCATTCTAGGTGGGGTCCGCCGCTCCTCCAAGTGGTGCCACTGGGAACTGCTCACTTTTGTGAGCTGAGCTGATCGCGGACATTCGAATGCAGGCGACAGGCCCCCGTGACAGGCCGGCCTACGAACATCCCACGTCACATCTTCATGTTAATGTCGCATATGATTTCCGAGATAATGCTACGGCGTCCGCGGGAGCCGACGCGCACTCGCAAAGCCCGGCGAGTGTGAAAAGTATGCGAGGGTCTCCGGTGCAAGGACGGCATCGGGGGGCAACTAGGCTAGTCCAAAAGTCCCGCAACGTATGGAAGACTCGCGTTGCGACGTTAAATGTTGGCACGTTAACGGGCCGCTCGTACGAGTTAGCAGAAGCTCTAGAGCGCCGAAGGAATTGATTTCTGTGCCGTGCAGGAAACGAGGTGGTCCTGCTGCAGATCGAGAGATATTGGACGAGGCTTCAAAGCCGTTCTCTGTGGCGGTCCTAGAACCACCAGTGGGGTCGGAGTAGTTGTTTCTGACCGCTTCCGTGACTCGATCGTAAGCGTTGATCGTTATTGACGACCGTCTAATGAAGCTTGTTGTCGTCATCGAACGTAAGCGATACCACTTCTTCTCTGCATATGCTCCGCAGACTGGCTGCTCTGAGCGAGCTAAAGATGAGTTCTGGACCCTGCTGGATGAAAAAACCGCAGAGGTACCGTCAGAAGAGGCTGTCATTGTTGCAGGTGACCTTAACGGTCACGTCGGCGACTGCGAAAGACGGGTACAACTGTCATGGTGGATTTGGATATGGGTCACGTAACACCGATGGCGAACGAATTCTTGAGTACGCAAATTCGCACGATCTCACCATCGTGAATACGAATTTCCGGAAACGTGATTCCCACCTGATCACATTCTACAGCGGTACTACCAGAACGCAAATCGACTTTGTCCTCGTCAGGCAACGCGATCGAGGGCTTGTAACAGACGCAAAGGCGGTGCCGTATGAGACTGTCACCACGCAACATCGACCGCTGATTTGCACGCTGAAGATCGCTCCTCCGAAAATTGAAACAAATCGAGCGGTGTGGACCAGCGAGAATCAAGTGGTGGCGTTTGAAAGAGAAGGAGACGGTCGTGATATCCAACATTCAGTTGCCGGCAGTCACTACTGTTGATGAAACTTGGAAAAGTGCTGCCGAGGCGATAATCCGTTCTGCCCGTTCCGAACTCGGCACAACAAAACCTGGGCGACGGAAGATCGACAAGCAATCGTGGCTATGGACGGACGATGTTAAAGAAAAAGTACGTGAGAAGAAGAGGCTTTACCACGTATTTCTTGGCGATAAGACTGTCGACAACTGGCGAAGGTTATCAGGCAGCTAAGAGTGCGACAAAGAAGGCCGTTGCTGCCGCAAAAGCTGCCCACTTTGCTGATGTTAGCGAGAAGCTCGAGACGCGCGATCGCCAGTCCGAGGACATCGAGAAGTTTTTCGGCATCAACGACGAAAATGGTCACCTCCTGACGGACCGCAAAAAAGCAGTGAAGCGATGGCACGATTACTTCGAGAACATCTCAGCTGAAGAGTTTGCTCATCCAGCAGTCCCTTATGTTCCACCTGTGCAAGGTCCTGTGCAGAGAATAACCGTGGAGGAAACGGAAATGGCTCTGAAGAAGATGAAGTCGGGAAAAGCTACAGGTCCCGATGATTTGGCGGCCGACATATGGAAGTCGAAATGCTGGTGTCCTGCTGAATGGTTGACCAAGTTTTTCAACCAGATCGTAGCAGAGAGAGAAGGTGCCTGAGAGCTGGCAGCAGAGCACAACGATTCCGATTTGGAAGAAGAAAGGCAGCCCTGCTGACTGTACGAGCTACCGTCCAATCCGCCTGCTCTCGCACAGCATGAAGATCTTTGAGCGAATTGTGGACGGCCGTATTCGTGACATCGTGCAGCTTTCCATCAACCAGTGTGGATTTGTGTCAGGCTGCGGCACCATCGATGCAATACATGCCGCCCGCCTTCTGCTGGAAAGACATCGCGAGAAAAGAAAAGCTGTGCATCTTGCCTTCCTGGACCTGGAGAAGGCTTTTGATCGCGTTCCTCGAGAAGTTATATGGTATGCCTTACGGCAGCACGACGTTCCCGAAGAGCTCATTGAGTGGGTGCGCATACTTTACTCGAACTCAAGGAGTCGGGTGCAAACGGTGGCAGGTACTTCGATGGAATTTTCCCATCTCGGTCGGTGTGCACCAAGGCTCTGCGCTTTCCCCACTCCTATTCATTGTCGTTATGGATGCCATTTCGCGTGATCTTCAGAAGCCCGCTCCATGGACGCTTCTTTATGCTGATGACGTGATGCTCGCCTGCGAAGACAAACATCTGCTCGAGCAACAGGTGCAAACCTGGTCCGACCGTCTGGCTATGTTTGGCCTCAGGCTGAACGTGAAGAAGACAGAGTACTTGACCACTGATTCGAGTGAGCCAGGCTCTATTAAGATTAATGGCACTGAGCTCACGCGTACAACATCATTCAAGTATCTTGGGTCGGCGATCGCGTCCGATGGTAGCCTGGTCTCTGAAGTAAACTCCCGAGTGAGCGCAGCTTGGTCTAAATGGCGCTCGATGACCGGCGTTCTCTGCGATAAGAAAATACCAGAGCGACTGAAATCGAAAGATCTACAGAACCGTCGTCCGACCAGTCGCCATTTACGGAGCAGAGTGCTGGCCCGTGACTAAAGAGGTTGAGGCTCGTCTCAGTGTAATGGAGACAAAAATGCTGCGCTGGACTGCCGGGGTCACGCGTCTGGACCACATTCGCAACGATGCCATCAGAAAGCGGTTCGGTGTGGCTCCCATCGCTGATAAGATGCGCGAAGCTCGCCTGAGGTGGTACGGTCACGTCCTTCGCGCTAATGATGAGAGTGTCCGTAAGATCGGTCTAGACTTTAACGTGCCAGGAAAGCGGCCAAGAGGACGCCCGAAGCAACGATGGCTTGATACGTTGCATGAGGACTTTGAAATTAGTTGGCCTCACCCCGATCAAGCACATAATCGGGAAAAGTGGCGTCATAATACCAGAAAAGCGGACCCCGCCACAGAGTGGGACAAACGCTGAAGAATAAGAAGAAGAAGAAGATTCTAGGCTCTGTCGATTTACCTAGGTCACAATTGAGTTCCGTGGGAATTTGGAACAGTTTCCTGGTTCGTGTGACCGCCAGCATATTTTCCATTTTATGCAAAACATGGTTTTGTCTCAAAAAAGGGCTTAATCCCGTGAAAGCGTCGTGAAGACGTGGATCACACTTCACACTACTCAGATTACTCTATCTCATAAAATCTGGAAAAATAAACAATCCGGATTTGATCATTTCTGCTCTTTTATGCGCCATGCATACATCCTTTGCTTAAAATCACAGCGGGATTTAACCGTGTTAGGCGTCGTTCAGAGTTCGCGATCGTACGTGCGATTAGACGATTAGGCGATGATTCGAAAGGAAAGTTTGCATATCGATTAGGCGATTGGGCGAGTAAGTGAGTAGGCGATAGGATAGTAATACGCATCCATTTGCTTACTCCCCCCGAGCGATCGGCTATCGCCTACTCACCTAATCGTCTAATCGATACATATCCCTTTCCTTATAGACTAATCACCTAATCGTCCGATCGCCCAATCGCATGTGCGATCGCCAACTCTGAACGCTGCCTTAGCCGCGATTAGTTGGCCACAGCCGATGTACCGATCGGGGTTATCAACCTTCAAGACGACTTGCACCAATAAGGCGATCCAATTCGAGGAGCGGTTGAGTTGATTGGGATCCTAACTTGGTGTTCGGTTCGTTGACCATACACGTGATAAGGATGCTTCTTCCACCGTCTCACATTCCCGATTCGTACCCTCAATGCCTCATTACCTTGCATTACCATCACTTTCCTGAATGGCTCTACTGGTACAGTACAACAGTTGTCACTGGATCACATTCAAGGGAGCGCCGAAAAAAAAGAAACGGAATATAACACGAAAATCGTAACATGTCTGGTCCCCACTTACCAATGCGAATATCGCGTTCACCAATGGAGAACATTTGCATCCCGCCATTGCTATCGTCCGACATCACGCGCGACAACTGACCACTGGCCAGCGGCGACGCACCGTGCATGGTGTCGCCATCGTGATGGTTCAGAGTTAATCCGCTCGCTGACGAGTCTAGAGCCATTCGCGGGCAGCTGTCGCTCGCTATCGCTGTCGCCGCAGACGTCGGCGGCTCGCTGCTGTCGCAACTCGACATTCGCATCGGCGTCTCTTTCGCGGGATGTCGAAAACCGTCGAGAAAGTTCGCTAAGGAGAGCTTTCGAGACATCTGAATTGACAAGAATTGACGTAATCAAAACAATAAATGAAATATTTAGTGATTAATAGAAAGGGGCGGAAGTGGTGTAGTGGCAAGTGGCACGCTTACCACGCGAGCGGTCCGGGGATCAAATCCTGGGTCGTGAGTCGCCCGGGCCAACCAAGCCTTCCATCCCTCCGGGGTCGGTTAATTGGTACCAGACTTGTCTGGGAGGATAAAAACACTGACTTGTAAAGTCATTGTATAGGCCACATCGCATTCAAACGCCACTACGAATGTACAAATGGAAGTAGAATGCGTGCCGCATCCCAAAAAGGGATTGATCAACGGCAAATGCTTTATCCTTTATCTTTAGATAGAATTGGACCTGGAAAGCGAACAGTACGGTATAAAACAAATGTGAGGCAAGAAGGAAGTTGATGCCGTACATTGAGAGCATGTCATTATCATGCCTTATGCGTCTGCCGATGACCACACTAGTGCTCCTGACCAACGTCGAGGATTAATTGAAGGAAATCGTATTGACTTCCAAGGAAGCGAAAGGTTGTATTGAGTTAAAAGGCAAGCCCTGGGATAAAAGTAAGTGCGCATGAGCGTTCAGTAATGAAGCTGGCAGTGGAGGTGGTCTGCAAACGGGAAAGAAAGCATAAGAAACCCTTGATTACGTCCTGAACAAGCATTCTTTTCTTTCAACCGCAATCCGCCTTGGGAAGGGAATGAGGAAGGGGCGTGATCGGACGAGTTTCACGCTCCTTCCTCTAAAGTAGCAGTACGTTTTCGTAACGGGAGAGCAACTCACCTAGTTAAAGTATTATTAATAAAACTCGTCACATGTTTCGAGAAATCTCCACGTAAATTTGTGGAATTTTGGGAACTTCATGGGAATTAAAGGGTTTTGTTGGACTCACATAGAGCGTTTAGACCTAGATGTCTCCACACCCAATCGACAGGCATTTTAGGGTAAAATAGGGTATAGAACCAAATTTAGCAGGTAGGATGAGAGTAGGACCCGTAGATGGAAGCAAGCACATTGTGGAATCCCAATCAAGGGAAAACCGCTCAAGGAGATCGTTCAATCGTTTATTCAGTCCTAAATGAATGGTTACTCTGCTCCTCAGTCATGACCAGATACTTCCCCTAGGGGCAATTCAGGGTTACCATAATAATATAGTAGTAACAATTAACCTTCCTGTCGTCACCGCCGTGAAAACTTATCTTTGACGACGACCTGATGAACGATCCTACCGATGAGCGACTCGTGGTGTCAGCGCTGAAAAGTATTTCCCTTTCATTTCTGTTTCGCATTCGTGGGGTAGAGTGAGCCTTCATAGGTTGATAACATTGTCGTAATCTCAAGAGGATGCTGAAATTTATGGACCAGAAACGCCTCGCTCACTTACTTTTTTACTGGCACAATCCTCTCAATAGCGGAACTAAAGCGTCTACGCAGCACTGAATCGCTTGGATGACTTCTTTGAAGTGGTACCATGCGAATTTGAGAAATCGACTTATCCAGTCTGAAAAAAGAAACATGTACAAAAATTGTCCTGTAGTTTCAATGCGTTGTATTCTACCGAAACTATCCCTGAGATAACAAAAGAGGGTCAATTCGTCAATCAGTTTGTCTACTCTGGAGCAAAATGACTTGCTACACAAAACTCTCTCTTTCCGACTTCTGAAAGTTTTTGGTTTGCAAACCCTCATTCAAAAGATTAAATTTAAATGATACTTCGGATGTAATCTAATCGCAGACGGTTTCCTACGGAACACGTCATTTCTAGCTCAGCTGCCTAAATTTGGGTATCTGAACTTTAGGTCCCCACTCCAGACGTAAGCAAACCAGCCCTTTTGGCGCTTCGGCTGGGACCGTATGCTGAATGTTGGGGAGGGGATGGAGTCCCCGACGGTGGACGGACCACTTCAACTCGGTCCTTAGAACCGCCACAATTTGGTGCTTACCTCAGAACTAAGCCTTAAAGAGAGGACGGGTCCGTCCCCTCTCCAAGGCTTAGTCCTGGGGTGAGCAAACCAGCCCTTCTGGCGGAGCTGCTGGACCAGCTGCACCACTGCGTCAGTACTCTCCTATCGTACCAACCGAGTTGAAGTAAACCGTCGACCGTTGGGGACCCCATCCCCTCCCCAACATTCAGCATACGGTCCCAGCCGAAACGCCAAAAGGGCTGGTTTGCTTACCTCCTCACTCCAGTACGAGGCCTAATTCGATGGAGCTTCCAAATAGTCTTCCCACTTCGCAAAAGGTCGTAGAGAACGTTTTTATAGGAACAAGAAACTAGGGACTGGGGATTGGTAGTGAAAAGTCTATAAAATTCCCAACATTTTCTAAGTCCCTGGAAAATTCAAGGAAAAGAGAATTTTCCAGGGACTTAGAAAATGTTGGGAATTTTATAGACTTTTCACTAGCAACATCCTAGTCCCTAGTTTCTGTCACGAAAATTCTCTTTTCTTTGATTTTCCTTCAAATATCCGATGTTGACACTCAAATCCACCAGAAGTATATATCTGTAAAATAACCGAGAAAAGAATATTGCGTTCCCTTGCCATTCAACTCGCCATATGATAATTATCCTCGGCTTAAGGTTCTTCTAATTGACTCTCTCATCACAGAGTGGTCGATCTTACGGTAAGATAACATGATTAATCGTGGACGCTTATTGATCGGGAAGCTACACTTACTTGATGTGACTAAGCGATCCTTCATGTTGAGTGTACTTCTTCTCCCAAGCACTTTCCTCTGAATACAATGGAACCCATTCATCGTCCCAAAACGCGTCTTTTCGTAGCTCAGGGGTTCGACCGTATCCCTCATCGACAATTTTTAGGCCCATCTGTAAATTGATGGCGGATTGAAAGACAAAAAATGAGTTACGACCTTCATACGTTGACTAGTTTATACTCTCGACTTAAGCGTTTTGAAACTCGTGTGGGAGGTATATTCTGTAGGTGAGGTTTGCCACCAATAACATGTAAAGGGCTAACGTTGCTGCCATGCTGACGCAAGGCTCTTCGATCATAACTGTTGATCGATTCCTTAGGCCTCGTTCATACTCAACCTTCCGGGATTAGGAGGTTGGGAGTTAGCAGCAAGTATTGGGTATCCATTTCAGGACAAACAATCCCTTAGCTATTAACAAATCTTCACTTTGAAGTTGACTTTATTTCCTTCCTGGAACAGCACGCTAACCTGCCTAGTCCACGAGGGCTATCGGTAAACATATTCGTGCTCAGAAGTTCAAGCAAGTCCCAATAACCCCAATAATAGAAATTTTCGAGTAGAAGAAGTTCAGAGGAGCGATCCCTGGCCAGGGTTTGCAGCACCCGGCCCTACTGCATCGAATTCACGCACGAATAATAGCTGAATAGGGCAATAAACATTGATGACATATAATAAATCGGGAAAACTCAAAATCTGGAGGAAAGTAGCTACCACAAAAACCAGTTAGGCATCTAATCCTTCCACCCGAATTTCCTAATCTCGTGATCACTGATCTCCAATCCTCCTAATCGATACTTATCTTTTTCATAACTCCCCTGAAAATACTGAGTATGTACATGACCGAAGAATTAGGTGGATTTTATGCCCAAATTATAGGTAATTTTGTTTTGTTGCCATCATATTCTTCACCATTTCGTCACTACTTTTACTCTTTTTTCCATTTACCAGAAAGCGTACCGCTAAATTTCGGTCGATAAGCACATTCGTCTCGAAGTCATCGTCGTCTTCACCCCATGGGTTGAGCAGAGCCTCGGCCACCTGAATCAGGTGAAAACTACTAGCTGCGAAAGTTCAATTCTATCGATTGAATGAGTTGCTGAGGGAGATTTTTCAGTCGAACACTGACAAACCTTTAACCATCCCATGTAGAGGACAAACTGAATGCTGGTCATGAACGGAAAGACCATATCGATCTAAATGTAGATAAAATGAGTGGTAGAGAAATGACAATAAATTTGGTGCCCAGAGGTTCACAGAGGAAGATTAAAAGGTTTTCAAATTGAAAAACGGATTGGATTATGTCGAGTAAAACCGAGTCCTTTTGTTATTATTATGCAACATGAAAGATCAAGAATCAGACATTGGTAAATAATGGATCACTTTGGAGCTAAATAACTAGCAAAAAATTAAGGGTCAAGGGTCAAATGAAGAGATAGAAAT